GTTCCTGGCGCGTGCATTTCTCGTTTCCCCCCCTCGGGAAGCGGAGAAAAAGCACGCACAACACCGCCCCGACGCCGCCCCCGACCCCCAACAAGTCCTGGGATTGAAAAACAGCCCGTCACTGGCGACGCACACGATCCAGCTTCCGATGAACGGCCAGGTTCGGCCACGCGCAAGGAGCGACCGGGCAAGAGTGGCCTTTGGCGCGCGGCTTCTCGGGGGGCCGCGAGGGGCCAAACACCGGCGCGCAGAACGCCACCGTCGCACCGCACTCGGCGTCCGGGGGGCGCGCAGCGGGCCCGCGCCGAGGGGCACTCCAGCGCCGGGGCACTCCTGCGCGCAGTCGACACGCAGGCCACCCTGAGATCCCGGGGCTGCATTTTTTCGCAACGGGCGGCTCCGCCCCGCCTCGGGCCCAAAGGCCCTCAGAGATCGACCCGGCTCGAAAACTGACAGGGACAGCACGGCAGGTTAGGACTGGGGCAACGGCGGCGTCGTCGACGAGAACGAGGACGACGCCAACGAGGGGGTCCAACACACCACCACCCTCTCCCCCATCGCAACGACGACGACGAGGACGACGACGACGACGACGACAACGAGACGCGAGGAGAAACAGGAGAGAGCAGAAGGGAGAGGAGGAGTGAGGTTCGTCCTCCCCCACTCTTGTTGTGGTTTATGTTATTTTCATATTGTGGTATGGTTATTGCTATGGTCGTGTTTCCCTTTACCCATTACAGGTAGGTTGCTGAATTACCCTATGCGTGTGCGGGCATCTCGCCTTTGTCAGTTTCTGTATGTCCCTCGGTATGTCCACTCCTGCTTGCAATTTGATGTGTGGGCCACTGCGCCTAAGTCGGTGTCATGCCAGGCCGTTGCTTCCGATCAGCCTGACGCTACGACCCGACTCGATCTACGTTTGCCTCAGGCGCGTGGCCGCGGCCAGTCGCCGTCCTGGTCGCTCAGCTCCGCCCCCCCGCAGAAGAGCCGCTGCTCCACGGTCGGAATCCTGGCGTTCACCGACACGCGCGCCTCGGGGTTTTCCTCCCTCCTACCTCTCCTTCCTCTTTCCTCCTGAGTCCTTGTTTCTTGTTTTCCTCCTCCTCCTCCTCTTCCTCCTCCATTCTTTCTCCTCATAAGTAACTTTTCCCTGGCGCACCCCGAGGCCAGTTCTTAGGGCGGGCCGGGCGTTTCGCCTGGAATTCCTCACCACGTATGACCCTGAAGCTTTAACATTGGCAACAGCTCTACACATGGAGGGCGGGTCGTTTTCAAAATGCGGCTCTCCATTCGTTTTCAAAATTTGCAGGAGCTTCACGGATTGAGGGCGGGTGGTTTTCAAAATGTGCTCTCGCCTCAGCGCCGCGCATATTCGTTCAAAAGAATTGCAGGAGCTTCACGGATTGAGGGCTGGCCGTTTTCAAAACGTGGCTCTCGCCTCAGCGCCGCGCACATTCGTTTTCACAGTTTTCAAGAGCTTCGCGGATTGAGGGCGGAAAGGTTTTCAAAATGTGGCTCTCGCCTTAGCACCGCGCACATTCGTTTTCAAAACTGGCAAGAGTTTCACGGATTTTAGTGATCGACGTACCAGACATGGTGTTTTGAAGGGATTCACGATTATGAAGGCGCAACTGTTTCCATGATTCGGGGTGTTGAAATCCCAGGAATGGCGTTCTGGCACCATTCTGGATCGCCAAAACGAAACAGTCAGGTTTATCTGTGGCGTTAGAATACCGAGAACAATGTTTTGACATGCTTAAAGGTCTTCAAACTGTTGTCTTCCAATGAGGCTAGTCCCTCTGTGGAAATGACCCGTTGTAGGGGCCGATTCAGAGGAAGCTTGGGGCGAGGCCTTATTCCAACATCGTTGGTGATTCTTTGGTTTACACTGGTCCTCCTCCTCCTCCTCCTCCTCGTCCTCCTCGTCCTCATCCCTCCCTCCTCCTCTCTCCTCCCCCTCCCGCCTCATCATCCTCCCTCGTATGTCCGTTCCTCCCCCTCCTGTCACCGCTCTTCCCCGCCGTCGAGATGTGTATGGTTGGTTCTCCGAAAAGCCGTGGCCCTGGAGCACTTCCCCCCTCGGAAGAGCCGCGGGGAGGTGCAAATAGACACCGAGAGGCGAAGAGAGGAGAGAGGAGGGCACGCCCGCCCTGCGGGCACGGCGCCGGGGAAGGGGAGAGAGAGAGGCAGGGGCGGCTGTCTGCGGTGGCCGCTGTGCGCGCGCGGAGGGGGCCCAGCTCGGCCCGCCCCACCTGGCGAGAGGCCCGACGCCCTCCGCCCCGGCTCTCGCGGAGAAGCAGGGCGCTCGGCGCAAGCAGCTCACGGCCAACGGCAGCGCCAGCCGTAGGCAGGGGGCCGTCCGAGGGGAGGGTGCGCGAGAGGTGTGTGTGTGTGTGTGCGGGCCCGGCTGCTGCCCCATCTCTTGTGATGGGCCTCGTGCAGGCCATGGAAGGCGCATGTTGTGGTGGCTTCCCTGGGGCCCTCCTCCTCCTCCTTCTCCTCCTCATCATCATCATCAGCAGCAGCATCATCAGAATCCGCATCATCATCATCATCAGCATCAGCATCAGCATCAGCATCAGCATCAGCATCATCATCATCATCATCATCATCATCATCATCATCATCATCATCATCATCATCATCATCAGAGGCAGCATCATCATCAGCAGCATCCTCATCAGCGCATCAACATCATCATCATCATCATCATCATCAGCAGCATCAGCATCGTCATCATCATCAGCATCATCATCATCAGCACCACCACCACCATCATCATCATCCTCATCATCAGCAGCATCAGTATCATCACCAGCAGCATCACCATCATCACCATCATCATGATCCCCTTTATCCCCAGCTACTCTTCGATCCCCCTCCTCATCAGATCATCATCAGCATCATCATCATCATTCTCGTCCTCCTCATCATCATCCCTCTTCGTCCTCCTCCTCATCATCATCGTCATCATCATCACCATCACCATCACCACCATCATCATCATCACCATTATCCTCCTCCTCCTCCCCCTCCTCCTCCTCATCCTCCTCCTGCTGGTGGCCCTCCTTCTACTATTCGCCCCTCGTCCCCCTCCTCCTGCTCCTCCTCCTCCTCCTCCATTTACTGTTTCCTCCTCCCCCTCCCTTCCTCCCTCCCTCCCTCCCTCCCTCTCCTCATCCTCCTCCTCCTCCGCCTCCTCCTCCTCCTCCTGCTCTATAAAGACTCCCCCCCTGTAGCACCCCGAGGCCAGTCGAAAGAAGGGGCTGAGCGTTTCGCCGGTGACTGCCTCACCATGTATGATCCTGAAGCTTAAAAACTGGCAACTGTTTCACGGATGGAGGGCGGGTGGTTTTCAAAATGTAGCCCTCGCCTTAGCCCCGCGCATACTCGTCTTAATTATGGTACCGGAGTTCCCAACATAAGAATGTTACGGCGTTAGCGGGATCAACGGGGCACCAAGTAGTAATAAGAATGAAAGACCCATGGTGCTCATATATTGTCATGGAAGGGCCGACGGATACGAGGAGGGGCAACAGCATGGAAAGGGAGGATGGCTGTGCAGGACGCACCCCCTTCCTTTAGCATAGCAGGGCAAACACCTTCAAAAAAGTATGGCATTCCGATACCATCCTCGCTCTGGCGGGGCCTCCCTGGAGATGTGGGTGGGACACGAAACCTGATAGTTCGTATGGTAGTCCGATACCATAATCGCTCTGACTGGGCCTCCCTGGAGATGTGGGTGGGGCACGAAACCTTTCAAATAGTTTGGTCTTTCGATACCCTCCTCGCTCTGGCGGGGCCTTTTCTGGAGAGGTGGAAGGGGCAGGAGACCGTGTGAATAGTATGGCATTCCGATGCCCTCCTTTCTCTGGCAGGGCCTCCCTGGCAGGGTGGGAGGGGCAGAAATCCTTGCAAACAGAATGGTATTACGATACCCTCCCGCTCTGGCGGGGCCTCCCTGGATGGGTGGGTGGGCCGCGAAACCTCGAAAATAGTATGGTGTCCCGATGCCCTCCTCGCTCTGGCGGGGCCTTCCTGGAGGGGTGGGAGAGGCACGAAACCTTTCGAATAGTTTGGTCTTCCGACACCCTCCTCGCACTGGCGAGGCCTCCCTGGATGGGGCAGGAAGGGCGCGACACCTTGTACCATTCTCGCTCTGGCGGGGCCTTCATGGACGGGTGGTAGGGCACGAAGCCTGGTAAGTAGCATGGCGATCCGATGCCATCCTCGCCCTGGCGGGGCCTCCCTGAAGGCTGAATGGGGCACGAAACCTCCTGAATAGTATGGTATTCCGAGACCCTCCTCGCTCTGGCAGGGCCCCCGCTGGAGGGATGGGAGGGGCAAGAAACTTCGCAAAGCGAATTGTATTCCGATATCCTCCTCGCTCTGACGGGGCATCCCTGGATGGGGTGGGTGGCGCGCAAAGTCTTGGAAATCGTGTGGGATTCCGATACGCTCGCTCTGGCAGTGCCTCTCTGGAGGGGTGGGCGGGGCACGACACCTTGTACGTAATATGTTTTCCGATACCTACCTTGCCTTGGCAGGGCCTCCCTGGCAGGGTGGGAGGTGCACGAAGCCTTGAAAATAGTATGGAATTCCGATGCCCCCCCCGCTCTGGCGGGGCCTCCCTGGAGCGGTGCGTGAGGAAGGAAACCTTATACATGATGCAATATTCCGATACCCTCCTCGCTCTGGCGGGGCCTCCCTGGAGGGGCGCGTGGGACACGAAACCTTGTAAACAGCATGGTGTTATGATACCCTCCTCGCTCTGGCGGGGCCTCCCTGCAGGGGTGGGGGGGAAGCCTTGAAAATAGCTTAATATCCGATACCATCCTCGCTCCTGCGGGGCCTCCCTGGATGGGTGGCCCCGGCAGGAAACCAGGTAAATAGTACATTATCCCGAAACCCTCCTCGCTCTGGCGGGCCCCCACTGGAGGAATAGGAGGGGCAGGGAGCCTTCCAAAGAGTATGGTATTCCGACACCCTCCTCGCTCTGGTGGGGCCTTTCTGGTTGGACGCGAGGGGAAGGAACCCTTGTAAATAGTATGGTATTCCCGGACCCTCCTCGCTCTGGCGGGGCGTTCCTGGAGGGCCAGGAGGGGCACGACACATGGAGGACTGGCAGGGACACGAAGCCAGGTAAATGAACGGGTAGTCAGCCTTAAGTAACAGTAGGCGTAAAAATAGTAGCAGTAGGATTTGCAGTAGCAGTAGCAGGAGTGGTAGCAGTAGTAGTAGTAGTAGTAGTAGTAGTAGTAGTAGTAGTAGTAGTAGTAGTAGTAGTAGTAGTAGTAGTAGTAGTAGTAGTAGTAGTAAGTAGTAGTAAGTAGTAGTAACTAGTAGCAAGTAGTAGTAAGTAGTAGTAGTAGTAGTAGTAGTAGTAGTAGTAGTAGTAGTAGTAGTAGTAGTAGTAGTAGTAGTAAGTAGTAGTAGTAAGTAGTAGTAGTAGTAGTAGTAGTAGTAGTAGTAGTAGTAGTAGTAGTAGTAGTAGTAGTAGTAGTAGTAGTAGTGGTGGTAGTATAGTAGTAGTAGTAGTAGTAGTAGTAGTAGTAGTAGTCGTAGTAGTAGTAGTAGTAGTAGTAGTAGTAGTAGTAGTAGTAGTAGTAGTAGTAGTAGTAGTAGTCGTAGTAGTAGTAGTAGTAGCCGTCGTAGTGGTAGTAGTAGTGGTAGTATTGGGGCCGTCGGCGGCCCGCCGCCCGCTTTGTCGCCCGCCCGCGACGTGGTTTCCTCGCCCCCCTCCCCCCTCTCCTGCCCGTCCAGGGCCCCGAACGGGGGTCAGGCCGTTTTCCGCCAACATAATGCACGGGCCCCACGCATCTGGAACCGCTGGCTTCAGCCCATCGTCTTCCTGTGTCACCTGTGTCCCGCCCTGGCAGTTGGCCGCCCCATTTTGGTTCGGTGCACAGCCTCCTCCCATCCCCTTCCCCCCCCGTCAGCTATTTGGCTCGTGAGTAACTGCCTCGCACATTCTCTCGAACTGCACCTCCCGTGCCATCCACCCGACCAAGTGATGGCGCCCAAGTTCTCGAAG